CCGGATCCGTGTCCCCAAGGGTCCCCAGTGTCCCTTAGAGACACGGGAGGGACATGGGGACACCTCAGTCCATGTCCCCAAGGACATGGGGGACACCAGGAGGGACATGGGGACATCTGGATCTGTGTCCCCAGGGGTCCCCAGTGTCCCTTGGGGACATGGGAGGGACAGGAGGACACCAGGAGAGACACGGGGACAGCAGGAGGGACATGGGGACACCTCGGTCCATGTCCCCAAGGACATGGGGGACACCAGGAGGGACATGGGGACATCTGGATCTGTGTCCCCAGGGGTCCCCAGTGTCCCCTGGGGACACAGGAGGGACATGGGGACACCCGGATCCGGGTCCCCAAGGGTCCCCAGTGTCCCTTGGGGACACAAGAGGGACATGGGGACATCTGGATCCATGTCCCCAAGGGTCCCCAGTGTCCTTTAGGGACATTAAAGGGACATGGGGACATTCCAGATCCGTGTCCCCAGGGGTCCCCAGTGTCCCCTGGGGACACCCTGGGGACACAGGAGGGACATGGGGACACCCGGATCCGGGTCCCCAAGGGTCCCCAGTGTTCCCCAGTGTCCTTTAGGGACATTAAAGGGACATGGGGACATTCCAGATCCGTGTCCCCAAGGGTCCCCAGTGTCCTTTGGGGACATCCAAGGGTCTTGGGGACATCTGGATCTGTGTCCCCAGGTGTCCCCAGTGTCCCTTGGGGACACAAGAGGGACATGGGGACACCTTGGTCCATGTCCTCAAGGACATGGGGACACGGGAGGGACACGGGGACACCCGGATCCGTGTCCCCAAGGGACCCTTGGGGACACCAAAGAGTCTCGGGGACATCTGGAGCCGTGTCCCCAAAGGTTCCAAATGTCCCCTGGGGACACGGGAAGGACATGGGGACACGGGAGGGACATGGGGACATTCCGGAGGGTTCCCGGTGTCCCCTGGGGACACTCCGGATCCGTGTCCCCAGGGGTTCCCGATGTCCCCAGGGGACACAGAAGGGACATGGGGACACTCCAGATCCGTGTCCCCGCGGGTCCCCGATGTCCCCAAGGGTCCCCGGTGTCCCCTGGGGACATTCCGGATCCGTGTCCCCAAGGGTCCCCGATGTCCCTTGGGGACATTCTGGATCCGTGTCCCCTGGGGTCCCCGATGTCCCCAAGGGTTCCCGGTGTCCCTTGGGGACATTCCGGATCTGTGTCCCCAAGGGTTCCCGATGTCCCCAGGGGACACAGAAGGGACATGGGGACACTCCAGATCCGTGTCCCCAAGGGTTCCCGATGTCCCCAAGGGTCCCCGATGTCCCTTGGGGACATTCCGGATCCGTGTCCCCAAGGGTCCCCGGTGTCCCCAAGGGTCCCCGATGTCCCTTGGGGACATTCCGGATCCGTGTCCCCGCGGGTTCCCGATGTCCCCAGGGGACACAGAAGAGAC